CCTTTTTACTCCAAACACACAGAAACAAAAACAATACACACAGTTTTGAAACCACAGCACACTACTTTGCCAGAGATTCAGCTTTTGTCCATCACAGAGGTCCAAATGGCCACCACCACCCTTTTATAGCCTGTGGGGTGTGGTCCAGTGACTCAGCTTAATCTCTGGCACGTCTCTTTTTCTGCTGCGCACGCTTATCACTCCTACACTGGCGTGGATCCAGCCACAACTTTTCTTCCTCATTATCTGACACACCTGGCTCCTGGCCAATCTGAGAAACACCGGGCTCCTGGCCAATCTCTGAACCACCTGGCTCCTGGTCAATCTCTTCTCCATCGGAAGACACCGGAGGCATTGCCAAAGAGGAGGGTCCTGGAGAGGGAGGCCTAGCCATCTCCTCTCCTTCATGTTCGGAGCCTTCTTCCTCCGATAAGAGGGGCTCACAAGACGGAGCCACAACAGGTATAGGATCTCCTGCTTGAGCAGGGGGCTGGACTAGAAGACCTCCAGGGTCCCTTCCAGCTCAATTCTGATTCCAATTCGTTTGATAACACTATCAAAAGTCCAGGGGCCATACAGTAGAGGATATATTAGGCCTTGCTGAGCCTCTGATGTCTTCTCCCTCTCTGCCATCCTCTCATTCTGCAGCACTGCTATTTTAAGCTGATTTCAGGAGTGTATTGTTTCTGGTCAGCCTCATGATGTCCTCTACCTCTTATCGCCATCTGCAGCTGCATTCCAGCCTAGACTAGAATGAATTTCAATAGAAGAATGTAGAAACTTTCTGGGGGGGAAATTGATTTCTTAGCAGTGAAAACCCTACAAAATAACATCATCCTAAAGGCAGATGTAAATGAGGGCAGAAAAATGAGCACCCAGTGTACATTAAGAAAAAAAACGTATGCTTGTGCTGTCTGGAATGGTAAACAGATTCTCGACAATATACATTGATTTAGGAAGTGCTACTACCATGTTTTCTTGACTTGCTTGCATCTGTATTTTCAGTCCCTTATCATAACTTTTTTGTTCCAAACATTTCTGTTTTTCAGACATGAAATAAAATTATAGTTTTGTTCTTAGCTTATAATAGGATTTATTCCTAGAGCAGTGGTGGCGAACCTATGGCACGCGTGCCAGAGGCGGCACTCGGAGCCCTCTCTGTGGGCACACACACCGTCGCCCCAGCCCCGCCTCCCCCCATGGCCCCCTCCTCACCAGTAGCCCTCCGGAGGAGAGTCGCCCCCCGGGCATGGCCCATGCAATGCTGCGCAGCCAAGGACATGGTAGCCGGGCAGTGGGAACAAACCCTTGCATCCCATCGCGCGCAGATGCTGCTGCAGGGCACGGGCGGAGGGCATGGCCACTATGGCGCTGCTGGGCTGCCTGGATGATCTGTGGCAGGCCGTGGAGGGGGTGGGTGGTCCAGCAGGCACGGCGGAGCGGGGATGGGTGGGGTGGTGGTTTTTGGGCACTCGGTCTCTAAAAAGTTTGTCATCACTGTCCTAGAGTCTCTTGCCTCTGGCTTGTTCTTAGTGTAAAGGTTTTGTTTAAATAATGTTATAAGCTGCTTTGGAGACCAATTTTGGGACAAATATAAAACTGTAAAAGGTGTTGTTTTTTAAGAAAAAAGCTTTTCTTTCTTCCAGGTGGTTCAGATTATGGAGCAACTGGAGAGGATGCCCTGATTAGGATCCAAAGGCTAATGGCTGAAGGTGGCATGACTGCTGTCGTCCAACGAGAGCAAAGCACTACCATGGCATCCATGGGTGGTTTTGGCAACAACATAATTGTGAGTCACCGGATCCACCGCAGCTCTCAGACTGGTACTGAATCCACTGGGATAGAAGGAGGCTCGACTCAACCAACTTCACAGGAGCTGATAACGGAGCTAGAGGGACGGACCCTTTCTGAGTCCATGCAGGTGACAGAACGTGGCCTGAGCCCATCGTCTAATGAGGTTGAGGGAGAAGCCAGTGGGCAAAGCCTATCAGAGCAGGCTCACTCCTCAATGGACACTGAGGGACCAGTCGAGTATAGTGATCTAACCAATAATAATCATCTTCCTGACAGTACCAATTTCTATAGTAATGAGAGCACCAATGGAGAGTCTCGGAACAGGTAGAGATGAATTGGTGCTATCCTTGTACTGCTAAGCAAAGACTCGTACCTTACAGCTGACCAGGAACTGAAGGAGTAGGGGGATTTTGGCTCTGACCAGATGCTGATAATTCAGTGGGCATTGATATGCAGGGGTGGGATAATAGAGGGAAACCATAACTTGTGTGGGAGAATTCTTGAAGAGGTTTTATTCTGTGTCTTAGCTTCCCACGTCTGTTTTGCTGCACATTTTCTACAATAGTTGTAATAAACCTTGATATTCAGCTGAGCCTTATGTAAATTTCTCAGCTCACTGGCTACAGGAATTCATTAAGCTTTGCCCTAACCCTGCAGTGCTTTTAATGCTACTCTTTTTTAATTTAATTTTATTTTTTAAAAAAGTGCTTTCCCTTCTTGACCTACCAACTAATTGGATTAGGGAGACTTGAGTCTCTTCCTTTGGAGACCTTCGATCTTAATTGAATTGTGTGTATAACTTTAAATGCTACTGTGGAGGAAATTTGCACCTAGATTCTACAACTAGAGTGGCTCCATTTTCCAGTCCAGAGCTTTGTCCCTTGCCACACACTGCTAGTAAGCACTAGAAAACTCTTCAGAAGTTCAGAATTTGGATTGCTTGAACAAATGGATAAGGCTGGATAAGGCACAGCAGTGTTTTCCAGGACTCTGTTCCACTCTTCTTTCCAGTTCAGAACTGGAGCTAGGAGAGCAGTGCTTGGGTGTCTCAATTTTTTTCATGCTCAGGAACCTCTCAGGAGTGTGGGCTTTTTGTTTTCAGAATATCTAATTTGTATGCAAGCAGAACTTTTACAAGGGCTGCTGTGGGTGGGGGGGGCAACCTGTAGTTGTAAAGCATGTGGGTAGGGTGGGAACCATTCCCCCCCCAAAAGATGGCACTTAACACAGATATTGCCCAAGGCTTAGCAACTCTTGCTGTGCCAATCGTAGCATATTGTAATTCAATCTGGTGAACTTTGGCAGGATCATGGTGCCATGGCCAGGTTGCACTTCCCTGTTAGGAGTAGGATGTGGGGTGGGAGAGAGGGGTTAGCTCCATGTCAGGGCGTGAGTTATGTGTCTGTGATGTAAGGTGTTGCATGTGAAACCTTGACCTTGTACATGTAGTTTCTAGTGGAGAAATCAAGGCTCTGATACTTTTTTTTTGTTTCTAGTCAACAATGTGATTTTCCTTTTCATTTGTAACTCTCCATCCCAGTGAGCTTGTAGCAGGAAGGTGGGGGAGAGTGTGTGCTAATGAGGGAAACACCAAAGATCAACGTCATTAAAATATGACAGACCCTTCTTTGGTCTCCTGTCTTCTTTTCTTGATCAAATATAATGCCTATTTGGGGGGCGGGAAGTCTTTCTGTTTGATCGGTTTATTCCACAGAAGTCCCCTACCCTGCAATCTTGTTAGTTCCAGAGAATCAGGAAAATCATGAAAAGGTTTTTATCTACTTAGCTGCATAATTTTTGACTTTTCCGGTATTGTTACTACTACTACAATTATAGCTCTTGGCTGCTGGACGAAAAGGAAAAGAAAAAGAAAAAAAAATTGGTTAAACTGTTAGTTCAATGAAATGATTTTTTTGATGCATCTAACAAATTCTTATGCAGCACCTGCAAGAGGTTTTCCTCCCAATATGCCTGTTTCTATGTTATCAGTACCATGAGCAAGTGACAACGAGGCCCATTGTTAAGCAGCTCTTATGCTCACAGTCAGAAAAGTCTGTTGGAGAACGTTCAGCAAATGTTGCTTTAAATCACAGCATGGAAATAAACTTTAAATCAAATCAGCTAGCTGCCAGTCCTCATCAGAGTGTTAATGAAGCACTAAAAAGGGCCCTGTGATGGTTTGCACTTCAGAGCTACGGGAGCCTGATTATGGAATTCCTCTCTTTAGTTTTAGAACATGTTTACATCAGAAGAGACTAAATCCAGAATCCACAAATGGCTCACTAGGCTGGAGGAGTCACTATCTCTACTCCGAGAGAAAATGAGGAGAAGGTTACAGACAGATTTTGCAACGTGATGCTTAAAAAACAGATTTTCTCCAAGCGTTCCATCCAGAAATCTTGCAGAAAGTCGCTGCAGTTATGAATTACCTTTTGTTGCCTGAGAAGGCCACGCATTTCAAGTTTATATCATACATCTTTCCCATATTTTTCCTGGTATAATTACTTGTTCTGTTTATGCATACACTTACACTCAATCAAAATGACTCAAGAAAGAAAAGTAATGGAACAAACTTAAAACACTCTCTGGTCCAATCCTTCAAACTTCACATCTACAGTATTAAAACAGTATCTGCCCCAAAAGACAGTGACCAGTAATAATAATAATGATGATGATGATGTATCTGCCCCAAAAGACAGTGACCAGTAATGATGATGATGATGATAATAATCATAATAATAATAATAAAGTTGGAAGGGACCTTGGAGGTCATCAAGTCCAACCCCTGCTCAGGCAGGAAACCCTACACCATTTCGGACAAATGGCTGTCCAGTCTCTTCTTAAAAACTTCCAGCATTGGAGCATTTGCTGCTTCTGGAGGCAGGTTGTTCCACTGGTTAATTGTTCTAACTGTCAGGAAGTTTCTCCTTAGTTCTACGTTGCTTCTCTCCTTGATTAGTTTCCATCCGTTGCTTCTTGTCCTGCCTTCAGGCGCTTTGGAAAATAGCTTGACTCCCTCTTCTTTGTGGCAGCCCCTGAGGTATTGGAACACTGCTACCAATTGCTTCTTAGAATAAAACTCTTATTGCAAAAAAAACTCCCAAAAAAACCAAAAACAAAACCAAGACCTATTTAAGCTCAACTGTTCCAGAATGTCATTATCACTACAGAAACAAATTAACTATAATTCCTTGCCATCTTAATCTCTTGTATGGAGGGGTTCCTAAGCATCTCCTCTTGGGAAGCAGTCATTGGATGGATTGAATCTAATTGAGAGAGATAGTCCTGAAGGTAAGTGGAATCTGAGCTATTTAGGACTTCATAAAGAAGCAACGAGCACTCACAATTAGATTCAGAAATCATAATCCTAAGCATGACCATAGCACAAGCGCAATACTGTTGAAATGGTCTGTTGTCAGCCAGGCCTCCATATTCTGGACTACCTGCAGTCTCTAAGGGGACACCCATGTGGAAGGCCTGTACATCACTCTCTGTCATAAAGGCTTCCCAGTCCAAATAGACCAATGAATGGTGCACCAGCCCAAGCTGGGATCAGGCTTTCTTGGTCTTGGCTTTTATTTGCTGCTGTGAGTCCAGGAAAATTCCCAAATCATGGATCTCTGCCTTCAACTTAGCAACAGAAGCGACGAATATGAGAACTGTATTTTTGACTTGTTTTGCGGTGCTCATACAGGCCATACTGGATGCATCAACTACATGTTTGTTGCTGGGGATTACAAAACAAGGTGATTGTGGAATAAAAATCATTAAAAAAAAGATACACTTTTGTAATTTTGGGAAACATACCACATGGAAAGAGTGGTACATTAATGCAAATGAAATGTTCTATGATCTGATGCCTTCGATGTCTGGCCGTGCTTGAATTACACGGATGACAAAAGCCTCCTTAGCTATTTAAGCAGAGTATAATGGAACCATAATTTGACTAGAACTGGAATCAGGGTAGTACTGTAATTTCGTACGCCTTTCTATCTATACTCAATCAGCCCAATTCAAGCATTCATGTCTGAGTTAAGCGTTTTGTAGTTATACCTACAATATATTACTATATCCTATATTATTACACTTGTTTCTGGGATCCATTGAAAACTAGTCTTAAGTTTCCTAAGTAACCCACATCATCATCATCTCCGTAATTACTCCTGGGATTCATACCACAAAAGTTGCATTAGTACCACAAAAGGATGGAGAATGTTGCATGAAAAGTTGGAAGTAGTTTTGGATTATTCATTCACTCATCTAATTTATATAGCTGCCCTTTTAACCAAAAGCAACTGGGCAGTATGCAATTACCTGAAGTCTGACCATTGCATATTTTTTGAAATGCACAACTTTTGAGAGAGTGTTGATTTGTTGACATAATATTTGAAACTGCCCTGGTAAACCAGATCATGCACAAACCTGTGAATATTCCTAATCTCCCCAAGTGGCAATGAAATGAGGTAGCTTTCTTTTAAATGCAGAAAACAAGCAAACGCCTGAGGGCTCTTGTATGCTCAGCCATCTGTTAGTTATCTTTTTAAAAAGCCATGGATAAGAGAAAAGGGTCCTGCAAAAGATAGTGCCAATAAACTATAAAAAAACTTGGTAAAGTATCTCATAAAAGACAGATTTTAAGAAAATAGAGGAAAGATTCTACTGTGGATTTTAAACCTGGTTGTAATAGAAATAGTCAATTCTCACTGAGAGAGGCTAATCAATCTGAACCCTGTGTTATTTAAATTAGGGGCAAGAAGATCTCTTAACTCAGACATATCAAACTCGCGACGTCGCGTGACGTATCGGAGCTTTTTTGCCATTGCTGGCAATGGGGTGGGCGCGGCTCTGGTATGATGAAACCGGCCCTTGGGCCGGCAGTTTGACACCCCTGTCTTAACTGGTGCAGAATGCGGCCACCGTGGTAGCAAATGGTGCTATATACACAGCACACATATAATACCACTTTTGTGTGAGCTGCATTGGTTACTGGTGTGTGTTTCTGGGTGCAATTCAAGGTGCTGGACATTGCCTTTAAAGCTCTACATGGTTTGGGGCTGGGGTACCTGAGGGATCGCCTTTTTCCAAGAGTCTCTAGCCATCCAATCAGGTCAAGCAAAATAGGCATGCTGCAGATCCCATCAGCCAAAGGGTGTCAGTTGGCAGGGACCAGAAGACAAACCTTTTCCACAGTGGCTCCTGTTCTATGGAACATCTTCCCTTTGGAGATCAGAAGGGCCCCAACCCTGTTAGCCTTTCGTAAGGCCCTAAAAACCTGGCTATGTTCCCATGCCTGGGATGCTGAATGTGCTAAGGACCCTGTTTCCTCCTGTATTGCTAACTGGCCAAGTGCATTGCTCCTATGTATGTTTAATCTGG